AGTAGGCAATTAGGCTCGTAATTCAATAAAAGCAGACAAAAATCGGTAGTTATTTGTGTAATCTAAAAGACTTATCTCTAAACCGCTTGAGAATAACTAGTTAAATATTAATAAAAAAGTATATCTTATTTAAGAAAATATCACAAAAAGGATGTAGTTTTTAAATAATGGCAGACTATTGTCCCAGCCAATTTTCGACTTTGTTTAAATTATCTATGATTGCTTAACACACACAAGGTGATTATAATAAAACCTACTTCTGTGCTGATCACATGATATTGATCGATGAGAAACTGGGCAAGGCTGCGCAACTCTCGAATGTCAGTCATTTGGCGGACAGTATTTATTAATTCCGTGATAGGTGCCCGCGTTGAGCGTCGTGGGAAGCCCGGCGAAACAGCGTAACCCTGACTATTACCACTGACATCCAGCAGCCGGCCGGGAGTCAGGCTAAATGGCAGATCAAGGCAAATTGAAGATGTGTCACCAGCACTAGCATCGACCTCGACGTCAATAATGGCGCTAGCACTGCGTTCAGGAAGGCAGTCAGGCGTAGAGTGAAGTCGATGAGGACCCACGCCGGGAAGTGACTCCGAATCAAGTAATCCCTGAGGCTGTAAGGAGGCAATTATGGCAGGAAGAGATTACCAATAAATAAGGAAAGTAAAACGCGAAAAAAGAAGAAAAGATGAATTAGCGGTTATCGATTATTTATGTTGGAAGATTCGGATTAATAAGAGGAAATATGCAAATTTTGTGAGATCTGATACCAAAATTCGTAAGCAAAACGTGTATATTCCCTTGTTTATTTCTGTTTCTAAGCAGTTAGAGGTAAGAGTTCGTTGGCCGCCTTTATAATGTTTTTTTGGAGTGAAATTTTATTGTGATACCGAGTCAATTGCTACCATTTTTAGAGGGAATATGCATAGCATATGCAAAACTAGAAGTTGAAAAGGCAAAGGCATACTTATTTTCACGGGTTTCGGATTGTATCTAGACAACATCTGTACCTTAGAGTGGATTTTGCCAAGGACTGTTCTCAAATGGCAATGCAGCACTACGGTAAATTCTGATTATGCTTTCTCAAATGTGGGATAACCATGTTTCCGTAGTATAACAAGTATAATAATCTGTCGTATAAAAAAATGATAGAACCTAATTTATATATGAATATATTTCAGTTCTGCAAAGCATAGATAAGTGATATACTGGTGTTTGATATTCTTTGCTTGGTGTTGGCATGGAGGGTATGTAGAACCAAGATTACAGGATAAAAAGGAAATAGTAGCAATATAACTTTCCGTGTTCAATAACAGTGGTAGTTTGATTATACAGTAGTTATACACCACATAAAGGTGGGCATTAAAATCACTCCAGAAAAAATATTAGAGTGTAGCTATAAATCCCTCAAGAAAATATTGACAAAAAAATGGTCTCGACCACAAATAAGGAAGGCCCAAATTTAAGCTCAACTATGTTCAAGGGCTATCCAGAGAATTAGGGCTTCTAAAAGTTGAATTCACTGAGGAAACAAATTCTCATAGAGCAACGCAATGGTGGAAGCTAAATAAACAGGGTAAAGTGTGAATGTGAAAAAATGGTGAAAACACTGTG